TAGCAAGGTAATGCTCAAAATTCTCCAAGCCAGGCTTCAACAGTACGTGAACAGTGAACTTCCAGACGTTCAAGCTGGATTTAGAAAAGGCAGAGGAACCAGAGATCAAATTGCCAACATCTGCTGGATCATCAAAAAAGCAAGAGAGTTCCAGAAGAACATCTACTTCTGCTTTAGTGACTACGCCAAAGACTTTGACTGTGTGGATCACAACAAACTGGAAAATTCTGAAAAAGATGGGAATACCAGACCACCTGACCTGCCTCTTGAGAAATGTGCATGCAGGTCAAGAAGCAACAGTTAGAACTGAACATGGAACAACAGACTAGTTCCAAATAGGGAAAGGAGTATGTCAAGGCTGTATATTGTCACCCTATTTATTTAACTTATATGCCGAGTACATTATGCGAAATGCCGGGCTGGATGAAGCACAAGATGGAATCAAGATTGCTGGGAGAAATATCAATAACCTCAGATATGCAGATGACACCACATTTATGGCAGAAAGCAAAGAAGAACTAAAGAGCCTCTTGATGAAAGTGAAAGAGGAGAGTGAAAAAGTTGGCTTAAAGCTCAACATTCAGAAAACTAAGATCATGACATCTGGTCTCATCACTTCATGGCAAATAGATGGGGAAACAGTGGAAACAGTGAGAGACTTTATTTTGGGGGACTCCAAAATCACTGCAGATGGTGACTGTGGCCATGAAATTAAAAGACGCTTACTCCTTGGAAGGAAAGTTATGACCAACCGAGATAGCATATTAAAAAGCAGAGACATTACTTTGCCAATAAAAGTCCATCTAGTCAAAACTATGATTTTTCCAGTAGTCATGTATGGATGTGAGAGTTGGACCATAAAGAAAGTTGAGCGCCGAAGAATGGATGCTTTTGAACTGTGGTGTTGGAGAAGACTCTCAGAGAGTCCCTTGAACTGAAAGGATATCCACCCAGTTCATCCTAAAGGAAATCAGTCCTGAATATTCATTGGAAGGACTGATGCCGAAGCTGAAACTCCAATCCTTTGGCTACCTGATGTGAAGAACTGACTCATTTGAAAAGACCCTAATGCTGGGAAAGATTGAAGGCGGGAGGAGAAGAGGACAACAGAGGATGAGATGGTTGGATGGCATCACCGACTCGATGGACATGAGTTTGAGTCAACTCCGGGAGTTCGTGATGGATAGTGAAGCCTGGCAGGCTGCAGTCCATGGAATCCCAAAGAGTCGGACACGACTGAGCAACTGAACTGAACTGATACTTAGAAGATGGTTAAGAATCTCCCTACAATGCAGGAGACCAGGGTTCAATCCCTGGGTTGGGAAGATCTCCTGGAGAAGGGAAAGGCAACCCACTCCAGTATTCTTGCCTGGAGAATTCCATGGATAGAGGAGCCTGGAAGGCTATAGTCCATGGGTTGCAAAGAGTTGGACACGACTGAGCGACTAATATTACATTACATTATATACTTAGAAGAGCAAATTTCCCATTTACTCATTCATTATTTTTTTTCATCCATCCATATGTACCAAGAGCCTATATGTACCAGGCACTATTCTAGGTGCTGGGGACACAATGATAAACAGACAAACGCTCCCTTCATGCAATTTAGAAATTAGCAGAGGAGACACTGGTTAATTAAATAACTTTCCAGCCCAAATGTAAACCTGTGACTGTATTATGTTATCAACATTTGCTGAGGACCAGGAATTATGCTAACTAGAATGCCAAATTGAAGCTTCATCCTCACCAGAGCCCTGAGGAACTAAGGTTCTGAGACATGATCAACTTTCCCAGTCACACCACCCCAAAGCAATGGAGCCGGGATTCCAATCCAGTGTCATCTGATGCAGAAAGCCCTCACGCTTGGCTGCTTTTTCACATCTCCCTTGGCAAACTATGGGTCTCAATTCCAGTTTCTGCCCTTTCTCTTTTGGAGATCCAGGTTTAGCCTTGCAGTAGTTGACATAAAATATTCCAGCCTTTAATATGTACATTTCACTGGGCTCAGGCAATGTGCTACAAATTTTAACAATGAGAGGCAAAGAGTATTTTTTCCTAAAGGATATCTGAAAATGAGATCACTACCTGGGCCAAAATTAAAACAATATCTGCGTAGAAAGTTCTAAAATCCTGGATTATTAATGCAGCAATGGCGCCCCCTGGTGACAACTGTTGTGTACTACATGTCTTTGTATTTTGGGTGTAGTGGAAACTTACCGCAACTCTGGATGAGTAATAAACCAAGTGAAGGGGGTGACAGAGGATGAGACGGTTGGATGGCATCACCGACTCAACTGACATGAGTTTGAGCAAATTCCGGGAGATAGTGAAGGATAGGGAAGTCTGGTGTGCTGCAGTCCATGGGGTCACAGAGAGTCAAATACGACTTAGCAACTGCAGAAGTCTTGATTACTTTCTCCTCATTCCCTTGACCCCACCACAACCCATTTATAGCGATTCCAGAGATAAGGTCACAGCTATAAGATTCAACCTGTTTTCACAATTCAGAATTCTAGCAACTAGGATACGATACAAGGTCCTCATGAGACTGACAAACGATTAAACCATTTGCTGTCAGTCTCTGGGATCAGTTACCCATTTGGTCCTGATGGATTAATCCATCATCCCCTGCTTTTTCTGAAAGTGGTGGCTACAAATGACACCCTCCTCCACCCACTCCCAACACAGATTCTCTCTCTGACTTTATCCCATGATTATAGGAAACAGACCAAAACTTACAGGTCTACTTTGAGCTAGGTATTGAGCTCTGGGCTGGAAACATGGTGATGAACAGCAAGCTGTGGTCTTGGCTCTAAAACTTTAGCAGTGGGAACAAGTGGCCAATTAACCTATGAATTATTCACTTTCAATTACAATAATTGTTACAAGAAAGAGGCTCTGAGAGTCTATACAAGTGAGACAAGACCAATTAGGTCAGAAGGTCAGAAAAGTTTACCCTGAGGAAAGAGAGTAAGGTGTGCCTGTCAAAATGGAGAAGAGGCTGGTCAAAGTGATCAGAGAATTTACAGAATAATGACCTTGGGGCCCAGGCAGCCTGAACCCAGGCCTCTCCTGGGACTAAAAGTGGGTGATGAGTGTGGGAAAAATTAGGAGAAATAGTCATTAGGAAATCCCCAGGATGGCTGAAGTATTAAGAGATAATGTTGATTATTAACTTAACCTTTGAGGAAGACTGAACTTGAATTAAAGGATGAGTATAAACTATAATACACCAATATTCATTTTAAGGGCTAAATGCTTTTACATGGGAAATATTGGAGTGGAGAGCATCCATAATAGAGAGATCTCGATTATTTCTCTTCTTAGGAGCCAAGGATATTGAAGACTTGACTATTTACATACCCTCCACTGCTTAAGGAAGATGAAGAACTAACAATGCCTAGGTTATGGGCAGGAGTTCAGTCAGTAACAGGCAAAAGCTGAAAGGAAGAGAGGATAGTGGTGGCAGTTCCAATGGTGAATTGCAGCTACAAAAAAATTGAGGAAAAAAGCCTTACCTTTGATGTCAGCTAGCTCACAAAATGTAGTACACCGTAGGCTAAACATTGCCAAGATTTGGATTCAGGAAACCTGAGTTCAACCCTTCCTCTTCCACCTTTAGCTAGGTGATCAGGGTAACAAACTCTGCCTCATTTCTGGATCTGCAAAGTAGCGATAACTGCTTTTTAGATTGTGAAGTAGTGTATACAAAGTACTTGATATCATACCTGTAATATTCCAATTACTCAACATTCATTTATTATTATTATTATAGGCTTCCCAGGTGGCTCAGTAGTAAAGAAACCACCTGCCAAAGCAGGGGACAGACCCAGGAAATGTGAGTTCTGTACCTGAGTGGGGAAGATCCCCTGGAGAAGGAAATAGCAACCCACTCCAGTATTCTTGCCTGGAAAATTCCATGGAGAGAGGAGTCTGGCAAGCCACAGTCCATGGGTGTTGCAAAGAGTCAAACACGACTGACCAAGCAAGCCAAAAAAAAAAGAAAAAACTATCTGGAAGGAAATACAGACACACACACACACACACACACACACACACACACACACACACACACACACACACACACACACACACACACACACACACACACACACACACACACACACACACACACACACACACACACACACACACACACACACACACACACACACACACCCAGAATCAGGGGACTTTTTTACAGCACAATTTTCTGTTATTTTTCAATTTTCTAAAATAAGTATGTATTTCTATTTAAATCAGAAGGGGAAATAAAACCCACAATTTTTGAATAAAAGAAATGTGACTAGTCCACTGCTTCCCACATTCCCAGATCATATCTGTTGCTCAAAAAGGGCGTGGGAATACATGTTAAAAGCACAGATTCCCAGGCCACGACCTAGAAATACTGAATCAGAATCTCTAAGGGACAAACCTGTTAATCTATGCATTCAATCAGCCTAGCGGACGATTCTTACAATCAAGTACTCTGGGAACGCGCAGATTTAGAGCGAGGGGGCAGTAAGGGGACAAGGGCGAGGAAGGCCAACCCACGCTGCAGCAAACACTAGGGCCTACGCCTACAAGTTCCATCCTGTCCCGCAAACTGGAGACGCGCCCCGAAGCCTGCCGGTAGATGTAGTTTCCCTCCGCAGACCTCTGCCTATAAGAGAGCGGGAGCTGCCTGCCGGAAGACCTCCCGCCCCACAATGCAAAGGGAGGCGGTGGCGTCATTCGGAGAGCGTCCTGGACGCGGCGGGCGGTTTCCGCCGCCTCTGGCAGCAGCTCCCCTACCTGAAAGACTCCCGCGGCCGCTGTCGACGCCGCCGCCGCCCCTTCCTCCTCCGTCCCTGCCGCCGCCGCCCCTTCCTCCTCCGTCCCTCCCGCCGCCGCCGCTTTCACCTTTTCGGGCCCCTCCGCCACCTCTCCACGACCTAGGTCCTCTGTTCCTGAGAGGAAGCCTTACTCGGGCCCCTTCGCGGGCCCGGCGCGCAGCCATGGCTGACGGCGGGGGCGGCGGGGGCACCGGCGCGGTGGGTGGTGGCGGCTCGGGACCGGCCTCGGCGGGGGCGGCGGCTGGCGCCGGGGGGGCCGGCGGGAGCGGCGGCCCCATCAACCCGGCCTCACTGCCCCCCGGCGACCCGCAGCTCATCGCGCTCATCGTGGAGCAACTCAAGAGCCGGGGTCTCTTTGACAGCTTCCGCCGGGACTGCCTGGCCGACGTGGACACCAAGGTCGGCTGAGGCGGTTTGGGCTCATGGGGGGCGGGCTGGGCGTGAGGCTGCTAGGGCTGCAGCTTCGCATTTCCAAATCGGAGAGAAAAACAAAAGGTACTTTTCAAATCTCAGCAGCGAGGAGACCGCTTGGGGCAGTGTAGGAAGCTTTCTGAGGGATGTCCAGAAAGGGATGTCTGAGCCGAACGTGGGTTCGGCTCCCCGCCCCAACCTTGCTCTGTGCGACTTAGCCCAGCAGCATCTCTGAACTTGGGGACCCAATACCGGTTTCACAGCCTCGACCCTGTATTTCCCAAGATGAGACTCCTTTAGGCACGTCAGTAACAAATCTGAGTATGTTAAGAACACGAGAAAACCAGGTAAGTAAGCATGAATGGTTTGAATGCACAAACATCAGCCTTTCTTCCTTTTCTCTAGCTCAGTGGTTTGCAGGCTTGCGTATGCAGTTAATTAAAGTACATTTTCATAGAACCAGCACCCTTATTTTGTATTCCATCATTGGTTGAAAGATTCTCTGTTAGACCCTAATGCCATAGGTCAACCAGCTAATACAAGGCTGTTTCACTTGACCTTGCCCAGATTGATTTGTATTCAGTGAAGTCACTGGTGTTAAGTGTCAGACAGTAGTCGCTGAAATGTTTGTTTACTCCCTTTTCAGAAGTTTCTCTCACAGGACTGTGGTTGTAGACATAGGAGGCTCTCTTACTGAATAGGCTCCTCTAGGGAAGTGATTTCTCCTCTCTGAGCCCAACATGGAAATCTTTTGCCTACCTCACAGGAAGATTGTGAGCTTAAAACTAGGCCTTAAAGATAGGTTATCCATTAAACATTTATTGGTTAGGTTTGTGGACACAGGGTCAAGCAAAGTCACTATCCTGTCCTCTTAGTGTGTATTCTGGCGTAGAAAACTGAAGTGTAGACCAGATAATATGTGTAGTAAGTAGTGTATACTGTTATTAAGATTTAAAAACTCATGGAGTAGTTCTCTCCTTGAAACGGGATACTTAATTTTTCTTGTTTAACATACGTATTGACAGACCTTCCATGTTTTCCAGTTCTGGGTGTTGTCAGCTTCCCATCGCAAGTTCCCCACTGTTTCTTAGGTCTCATTAAGTTTTATGTGGCTTAACCGATGTAATATACGTTTTTTTTTCTTCGGTATTGAGAGTCTCTTGGGGTAGAGGGAATTGGAGCCTTCACCACTTAACACCTCCTTAGATGTTCTTTCTGGTTGTCACCAGGTTGTTTTAGTTCTTGAGGTAGTATGTCTCCAGGCACACCCTTTGTTGCTTTAGTCCCATGGTTCTCAAAGTGTGGTCCTTGGATCATCAGTGTCGCCTAAGAGCTTGTTATATTTGCATATTGTTAGGCTCCACCCCAGACTGCAGACATATGGCAGGGAATGTGTACTGCTGATGTTTGTCATTTACTTTGCAATGCATCCAAAATATAAATGAATAGACTGATAAGAAGAGAAAGTGATAGTATAATAAAACATTAGTGACAGACACTGTAGATCTTTCACTTCATGAACTGAAGGGATTTTTCTATATAGTCAGGGTCTGTAAAGTTAGAGTTTGGTTGGTGACATTAGCTGTCCTTTGTCCTTTTCAGTAAACAGTCCTACCTAAGACTGGGTGAATTATTTTGAATAGTAAAAGATATAGTATCAGGATTGATGATTACACGTGACAAGTCTAATTCTAACTCCTGTGAACAAAGGGGGAGAATCTGTTGACCCATGGGAAGCTAAGGAAGGATAGAATAAAAAACTGCCAGAAGGGTAGGCATGCATTTAGAACCAAGAATTCCCCACCAGGGCTACCTGACCCTATGTCACTGCAGAGCAGAATCATCCGGAGTTACCATACCCTTGCTTACATCTTACAGCTCTTCCTCTCAAAACGACTACAGTTAAAGAAAAAAAAATCCCAGGAAATACCTGCATTGTCTAAATGTGGGTCAGGCAGCCACCCCTGTGGCCAGGAGAATGTGGCTCCCACCGCCCTACCCCGTGAAGAGGGGCAGATGGTTACCAGTAAGAAGGACTTGCTAGGCGGATAGTACCTGGTTATCTGTGAATTTTAGTCCTCATCCATCTCTCTGCCTTTCTCTTTTCAGGTTTGGTGGAGAGTGTTTGTGAGTCATGGCCTTTGGGAAGAGCCCACTCACAGAATCGAGGCCTCTTGATTCCTTTGTCAGTCACCTACCTGACTGTTAACAGACTTTTGCCAGAATAACACTACATAATAAACCAAATCTCAGTGGCTTACAATAAGCATTTGTTTGCATGCTGATGGAACTGCAAGTCAGCTAAAGTTCAGCTGATCTAGATAGACTTGGTGGCTCAGCTATAGGCAACCTGGGCTTAGGTCCAAGCTGTGGTTGGGGGAGGATCTCTGCATGTGTATTTTTCCTACATCCCAGGCCCGAGGGACAGAGGTTGCAAAGAACATACCCTCATAGAAGGTCACCAGAGTACCAGAGCCATGCCAGATGGCGCAGCCACATTTAGGACTTCTTGTCAGCGACACAGTATTATCAAAGTGAAAGTCACTCAGTCGTGTCCATCTCTGCGACCCCCATGGACTATACAGTCCATGGAATTCTCCAGGCCAGAATACTGGAGTGGGTAGCCTTTCCGTTCTCCAGGGGATCTTCCCAACCCAGGGCTCGAACCCAGGTCTCCCATACTGCAGGCAGATTTTTTACCAGCTGAGCTACCAGGCACTTCATTGGCCAAAGAAGATCACACTGCTAAATGCAGCATCAGTGGGGTAGGGAAGTGGTCCCTGGCCACAATGGGAGGAGAGAGGAGTGAAGTGTGAAACAGCAATGCACACTGTTACACCAGGTTTGGACAACAGCAGCTGATGGTGCCAGAAGATCTTGGAGGCCCAGAATGCACATTCCTTTTGTTCACATGCATTCCCTGTGTTCATCAAGCTCCTTTCTGATTTTGTTCTCCTCATACTAGTTGGATTTAGAGAGCAGTAGTGCCAGTCAAGGAGAGCTTACTCCTTGGAAGGCAAGTTATGACCAACCTAGATAGCATATTAAAAAGCAGAGACATTACCTTGCCAACAAAGGTCCATCTAGTCAAGGCTATGGTTTTTCCAGTTGTCATGTATGGATGTGAGAGTTGGACTGCGAAGAAAGCTGAGCACCAAAGAATTGATGCTTTTGAACTGTGGTGTTGGAGAAGACTCTTGAGAGTCCCTTGGACTGCAAGGAGATCCAACCAGTCCATCCTGAAGGAGATCAGTCCTGGGTGTTCATTGGAAGGACTGATGCTGAAGCTAAAACTCCAATACTTTGGCCACCTCATGCGAAGAGTTGACTCATTGGAAAAGACCCTGATGCTGGGAGGGATTGGGGGCAGGAGGAGAAGGGGACAACAGAAGATGAGATGGCTAGATGGCATCACTGACTCGATGGGCATGGGTTTGAGTAAACTCCGGGAGTTGGTGATGGACAGGGAGGCCTGGTGTGCTGCGCTTCATGGGGTCGCAGAGTCGGACACGACTGAGCGACTGAACTGAGTGCCAGTCAGACTCCTTTGGGGACTTAGGTTTTGCTTCCTGTCAGCCTCTCCCGGTGTTCCATAGACTTTGCCTTCAGCCTGTGTTTGTGAGGGCTGGGTGGCTTCATTTTGTGCAGAGGGCTTTCGTGGGCCCTTGCTTGTTGCTGAGAACACCCTATGAGGTAAGTGGGGCAGTAATATCTGTTCTACAGATGGAAATCACTGAGACTCAGGTTGGTTGAATTGTTGAAAGTCCGAGAGCTAGTAAGCAGTGGAGCTGGGCTGGGACGCATTTCCTTTGATTTGGAAACAGCCTGGGTCTGACCTTGGCTTTGCCACATTTTAGCCTTGTAGGCAAGTTGTTTACTTTCTCTAACCCTGAATCCTGTAACATGAATGCAGAAGAGAACTAGTAGGACCAGCCTCGTAGAGTTATCTGGAAGGCACGCGGGGCAGTAGAACATCTGGCCACACAGCTGCCTGCCGGGGGCGCCAGTGGTGAAGCACCTGCCTGCCGGTGCCAGAGATGTGAGAGGCACGGGTTTGATCCCTGGGTCTGCAAGATCCCCTGGAGGAGGGTATGGCAGCTGCTCCAGTATCCTTGCCTGGAGAATCCCATGGACAGAGGAGCCTGGCAGGCTGCAGTTCACGGGGTTGCAAAGAATTGGACACAACTGAAGTGACTTAGCACTCACACATGCGTGCCCTAAAGTAGGCACACAGGTTGGTCATTAGTCCACACTCTGCTCTGCTGTATGGTGACCTTCATGGATATGCAAGGAGTGTATTTAAGGACTTGAAATTCTGCATTCCTATGAAAATCTGTGTTCTGAATGGCAATTTATAAAACTTTGGTACATGTAACTTCTGACCTTCCCCCCCCTTTTTTTTTAATATTTTAGCCAGCTTACCAAAACCTGAGGCAAAAAGTGGATAATTTTGTGTCAACACATCTGGACAAGCAGGAATGGAATCCCACGATGAACAAAAACCAGTTGCGAAATGGTCTGAGGCAGAGTGTGGTTCAGTAAGTAAGCAGAATTGAAAGTGAAAAGGCAGTAACCACAATTGTGACTCAGAAGGCCAGTGAAAGGCCCTGTTTGGTCAAGTGCATGGTCTATAACCCACCAGGCTCCTCTGTCCATGGGATTATCCTGGCAGGAATACTGGAGTGGGTTGCCATTCCCTCCTCCAGGAGATCTTCCCAACCCAGGGACTGAACTTGTGTCTCCTGCGCCTCCTGCACTGGCAGGCAGATTCTTTACCACTGAGCCACCTGGGGCGCCCCAAGTGCATGGTACCTTCTAGCAAATATGACATACAAGTTGCAGCAGACCCCCACCCCCCCAGTTAGGTTCAGGTAAGCAAAGAACTCAATTAAAATTCTTAATACCTACAGAGGCCTCCTGTGCACGTCTCTACCAGGAAAGATATTCCAAATTGTTAAGACGTATTTCAGGCTCTTTGAAGTTTGCAGTGTAGCATAAACATACACTGGAATTCACATCAATACATCAGTGTTTAAGCCTTGGGGAAGAGCAGCCGGATCTTCTCACAAGCCAGTGTGAGTTCTACAGATTTTCTCAATCCACATGACCCCTCTAAAGTATAATGGTAGTGTTCAAGAAGGCATGAGGTCTTATTAAAGTAGATTCTTCATAATAGCAAACTGAACCTCAGTTAAAGAGGTGCTGTTGATTGCTCATCTAAGTGACTTTTGCGTGTCACTGGGCACAAAAGTGGAGGTGGCTCATGAAATCTGGTGTCCTGAGATAAGCTTTTTCTTTTTTGTTCTTAATACCAGTGCTTATGTTCAAGTTTTCTTGATCCACTCACTCTCCTGGAATACCTAAAAGCTTGTGATGCTTTCCCCTTTAAAAAGAAATGGTGGGGAATTGTGGCAAGTGAAAAAAAAAACAGTATCAGAAAGATACATGGTGCATGATTCCACTTCTATAACATTGGTGAACTGACATGTAACTATAGAGATGGAAAATAGATTAGTGATTGCTAGGGCTTAGGGTTGGGGAGGATATGAGTGTGGCTAGGAAAGGGTAGCTGGAAGAGGGTGGGATACAAGTGAGTATTTTACTTGTGGTGGCTCATGAAGTTTCTTACGATAAAATTGCACAGAGCTATGTATGCAGATGCCCAAGTGCAGCTATAACTGAGATGTAAATGAGGTCGAATACCCATGCTGGTTTTCTGGGGGTTTTTTTGCCTCCCCCCCGCCTTTTCGGAGGTATTGTTGACATACAGCTTATTGGTTTCAGGTGTAATTAGTTTCAAGCATAATGATTCAGTTTGTGTATATTTTGAAATGATCACCACAATAAGTAGTTAACATCCATCACCACATATGGTTACAGAATTTTTCCTCTTATGTTGGCTTCAATATTGTACTTCAGGTGTGCACAGTGCAAGCATTAGAGGTGTCTGGGTAAAAAGTGCATTGACCTCCCTATATATTTCTTTGCAACTTTCTATGAATATATAATTTCAAAATAAAAAAGTTTTGTAAAGTATAAATGTTTATTAGCATTCGAGCATTTTCAGTAGGGCTGATGAAATCTGAATCTTTCTAAATGAAACTAAAATCTGTAAAAGCTCTCAGAGTTAGAGAAGAAGCATGATTCCAGAAGATGCCCAGTGCCTTGTCATCTTGGATTCGTTACCCAGAGCCTTGTTCCTCTGGTGAGCAGACTGGCACAGAAGTCCTTCAAACAGAAGGGGACAGTGGCTGCCACTCAGAGCAGCCATCTCACGTCTGGCAGTGGTCCTTATATGGGTTATTGCTCAATCTCAGTTCAGTTGCTCAGTTGTGTCTAACTCTTTGCGACCCCATGGACTGCAGCGCACCAGGCCTCCCTGTCCATCACCAGCTCACAGAGTTTGCTCAAACTCGTGTCCATTGAGTCGGTGATGCCATCCAACCATCTCATCCTCTGTCGTTCCCTTCTCCTCCCACCTTCAGTATTTCCCAGCATCAGGTTCTTTTCAAATGAGTCAGTTCTTCGCATCAGGTGGCCAAAGGATTGGAGTTTCAGCTTCAGGGTCAGTCCTTCCAATAAATATTTAGGACTGATTTCCTTTAAGCTGGACTGGGTGGATCTCCTTGCAGTCCAAGAGACTCTCAATCTTCTCCAACACCACAGTTCAAAAGCATCAGTTCTTTAGTGCTCAGCTTTCTTTATGGTCCGACTCTCACATCCGTACATGACCACTGGAAAAACCATAGCCTTGACTAGACAGACCTTTGTTGGCAAAGTAATGTCTCTGCTTTTTAATATGCTGTCTAGGTTGGTCATAACTTTTCTTCCAAGGAGTAAGCGTCTTTTAATTTCATGGCTGCAATCACTGTCTGCAGTGATTTTGGAGCCCCCCAAAATAAAGTCTGTCACTGTTTCCATTGTTTCCCCATCCATTTGCCATGAAGTGCTGGGACCAAATGCCATGATCTTAGTTTTCTGAATGTTGAGCTTTAAGCCAACTTTTTCACTCTCCTCTTTCACTTTCATCAAGAGTCTCTTTAGTTCTTCACTTTCTGCCATAAATGTGTCATCTACATCTCTGAGGTTATTGATATTTCTCCCGGCAATCTTCATCCAGCCCAGCGTTTCTCATGATGTACTCTGCATATAAGTTATTGCCAGTCTTTAGAAAAAAAACTATTGGACAGCTTAAGTAACAAATCAGATGAAACTTTTTTAACCCTTCCTTCTAAAAGATTGGCAACCATATTAACACAGCACAAAATATTTTAAATATTTGAAAAGGTGCCAATAATGGCATGACTGTCAACATTACAATTTTAATGCTTGTTGATAGCATCCTTGAGGTATGCATGTGGCACTTTTCTTCATATATCTTTCATATGAAATGTAACACAGAAAAGTGCTTACAACAGAAATGCAGCATAACAAGTAATTAGAACATCCCTGTAGTCCCACCCAGGTTGAGAAATAGAACATTACCAGCACGCCCACACCCCATGCCCTAGCTCTCCCAGCCCTGCCTCCCCACCTTTCCCAGTACCCGTCCTCTCAGAAGTTGACCATACTTCTCACTTGGATGGTTCTTATTTCTTGCTTTTTTTCCATAGTTTTACCACCTATGTAATTATTCCCTGCTTTTCGATTTGATCTAGAATGCATTTAACCTGAAAACATGTATTTGGATGTCATAATGAGACTTTTGTCCGTGATTCCTGCTAACATTCTGAATTTGAGGCAATTCTCATGACGTTTTACAGTGAAGAGTCACTCCTTCACCCTGCCACTGCGACGCCGCAGCCCTCAGCATCGGCTGGCCAGCCCTGCGGCTCAGGCCCAGACGCTGTGTCCCTGTCTGCAGCACGGAGGAGACTACGTGATAGTTGTTCGTGTCATCTTCTGTTTTAGGCACCTGACAATATTTCTTACTTCCTCCTCGCACTTTTAAAATCTCCAGGAAAGGGAGCTGTACTCTTGGGACTTTGTTTTCCTTGGTCAGAGTTTCACCTCCAGTAAAGACACCTGGGAACCTGACCCAAGTAGCGGGGTGATGGAGGGCGGTAGCCCTTGGCTTGTGACTCGGGAGAGATGGCTTTGCTTCCCCGCTGACACACAGGCTGCTGCTGACCTCTGTTCCGTGGGCACACACTGTCTGTTGGGGTTTGCTCGTGAGTGCCTCTGTGCTCTCACGGAGGTCCGCTTACATCTTGGCTTCCTGCTGATAAGCTGTCAGTCCCCACCGGCTTTAGGGAGCACCGTATTCACTGCTCAGCCTAACCAGTTCAGGGCCTGTTTCTCATCTCATCACTGCGTGTGTTTGCTCGGTTGTCTCTTGGGCTGTGCCCTGACACACCATTTGCCCCATTACCTCAGGACCTATTTATACCCAAGCAAAAGCTTGAATGGCCCAAGAACTCAAGTCTAAAGGAAAGTAAGTAAAACATGTCGACCACACCTGTGAATGGCATTTGAATATTTTCATCCTTTGAGGAGAACAGTTCAGTGTGACCCTACGTGGACTATGTTCCAAACGTGATTTGTTTCCTATGACCATAATCTTCCTGGCTACCCACTCCTAATGTTTGAATATAGACATTTTGACTAATTTTTGTTCTTTTTCAGAAAGGACTGGGGCTGTATTTTAGCCCCTTAGAAGCTTAGAAACAGTCTATTTCTTGTCTGTTTACTTGTTTGCTCCCAGGTTACTTTGTATGTAGCACAGCTGGAAGGCCTTGTTGAGTTGCTGATGCTGCTGAGAGCCCTCCCAGCCCTGACTGGTGTGTGCTGTATAAGATTTAGGGCTTGGCAGCCGGGTTGCTGCTGGGGCCCACTTCTGCTTTGACGTGTGGAAGAACAGATATTGAGGGAAGTGGAGTCAAGTGGGAGGCCTCCTGGCTTTGCGCGATTGAGGTTTTCATATCTGCCCATGGCGTCGATTCTTTCGACCATACTGTTACTGTTTGCCTTTGGAAGAGTTTTGTTTGGTTCTTTTGCAGAAGGTTGCATTGGGAGTGGATGAGATTGTGAGTTAGGAATAATGAATTGCCCTCTATGGCTTGGACCCTATGTACTCAGTGCACTTTGAAAGCACTCTCACGGGGCTGTGCCTTGGACCAGGTGGACACTTACTGGGCTCTCCCATGACACTTGCAGACTAAATAATGGAATAATCTGTTTGTCTTCTCAAGGTCAGGGATGTTGGAAGCTGGAGTGGACAGAATTATTTCCCAGGTGGTGGATCCCAAACTGAACCACATCTTCAGACCACAGATAGAACGAGCAATTCATGAGTTCCTGGCAGCCCAGAAAAAAGAAGCCGTGCCAGCACCACCTCCAGAGCCTGAAAGCCAGGACCCTGCTGCTCCATCGCAGGACGCTTCCTAAAGTCAGTGTCCCGCCTTCTGTCCAGGAGCATTCACCTCTGGCTTATCAATATAGGAAATGGATAGAAAAGGGATAAGCCATTACCGAGGTTCATATTTCTTATCTATTCAGAAAACTTCACTGCAAATGGATTTCATTTTGTTGTGAGTCATTTTTTACTGAGAATTAATTAGCAGCCTTTTCCTATGTCAGTGAGTATGATTTTCTGTGCCAGCAGACCTGAACATTTACGCCATGAATAGATGCTTCATTAGAAACCAGCTGGGATGCTGGGTATGCACCCGCCAAATTTACATTTAAGTCTTGTTCTGAAATTGCCTAGGTGAGTCTCTCCCCTAGACATGAGTTAACTGGGCCTTACAATTTGAATATAAAACGAAGCAGTGATTTCTAAAGTGCCTCCCAAATGGCGCTCAGAATCCACTTTAAGCCCTCTTAGGTTTCCTTATAGTATTTATTAAGGATTTCAGTTTACCACCGTCCGTTACCATGGGATTCTTCTGCTATGAGCACCCTTTTTTTTTTCACATTTGAAATTTAATTTTAAAAATCAGCTCTAGATGCACAAAACAATGCTGTTTGCAAGGTTTGGGAGACATTAATAAACATACGCAGTTATCATCAAGTAAGCCGTGGTGGACTCTTGGCCACCTCGGGTAACCATCACGGTGTGCCTTACCCTCTCATTCTACACTGGTGTTCTCTTTGACAGAGTCTTTAAGATGTCTGTTATTTTTGATTAGTAAAATAAGCATCAGTGAGTGAACAAAGCGAGAACATCAGGCTCGCATGGGGAACTCATGAGACAAATTGTCCCTTTGTGCCTACATTAGGAGAAAACCTCAATTCCATTATGGAGTATAAAATATTCGCTTCAAGTCTGTCTTTCTAGCTTAATTCCTTTGGGAACATAAAATTAAACATAACACAAAACTAACATTTTGATTTGATTATCTTTCTTTTTAGAATATGCCTGACATGTTTTGGAAGCTCCATTGAATTAACGGTGAAGACCTGGATTCAGTTACATAAGAGCACAACTTCAGAATGAAGACAGGCCGAAGTCCTCACTGACTTCAGAATTCAATGCTGACTGTGGGGCGGTGTCCAGAGGGAATAGGGAGCAAGTGGGGCTATAGAAAAGTTGACCATGTGGGCCCCCACATTGTGCTGCCGTCCAGCTAGCCTGTCCAAGAGGGTGACACCCCGTAGACACTACAGACATACTAAGAAACACTACATCACTTTGGGGTTTCTCCTGAAGCGAACCTTTGTACTTGAACTTAGAGACTGTGTATGGATTTTAGGGTTTGTGCTTGAGGATAATCAGAAGCTACAGTGAAGGAACATAACCAGTCCTAAAGATGCAGTTTCAAAGAAAGTAAAAGTTAGCCAGGGGTGGTAGAGTTTTAACAATGCTTATTTGATACTATCAGTTTCTGAGAGTTGCAAATCAGTTTACAGGCCAGTAGCATCAAACAGCTGTAAGGTCACTGTGACCCCCTTGTAGGTGACTTTTTTAGCTACCACTTCTTTCCCCTGCAAGAGGTGTCAAGAGTAGGACCCTGGAATGCCTGAGGAGATGCAGACTTAAGTGCAAGGAGAAACATTGGCAGGCTGTCCGTCTAGGGCTCCTTCCTGTCCTGCAAGGGCTAGTGAGTTGGGTATGTTTATTTTATTCTTATGTTTGTGTTTAGAAAGTGAATAAAGGGACTTGAGTTTTGTAATTAAATCATTTGATACTCTGAAACTTCAACTAATTCTTAGACCCCAGGTGTGGAGCATAACCTTTGTCCTCTGTACCATTCCTGTGCAAACACATGACTTAGCGGCAGTGAAGGGCTGTAGACATACCTTGGAACTGCCGTCGTCCTGCAGCTGGTGGGTGTACCTGGAAGTGGTCCTCTCTTCCCCAGACCATTGCCTCTCCTCCTCTTTAGCTGAGGGCAGTGTGCTCTTTCCCAAACTTGCAGAAGTGTCACCAGGGGATTTTAAACAACATGCAGCCTGATTTGGAAGTTCAGAAAGACCTGAAAGTTTCCGACAAGTTCCAAGTGATGCTGTCACTGCTGACCCTTGCCATTTTGCATCCCAAGCTTTGGATGATACCGGAATTCACCTCAAACTAAGAGTCTTTGGTTCTTAGTTGAGCCTTCTCCTGGATATTGTTACTCAGATTTTAACCTGTTCCACCTTTACCATCAATAACCACAAGTTAGGACTGCACTTCTGTGTTTAGCAAGATGTTTGGGCAGCATATGCCCTTATTTTAAACCAAGCTGACCACATGTTCAGGGCAGGTGGCAGTTACTTCTGAAGTGTGTTCTGCTTCCAGGTAAAGCAGGTTGCCGCCATTTTCAGTTTGGGAGTCAACAAGCAGGTCCTCGGTGCCCAGAGAAGGGCCCCTCTAGTCAGTCCTCTTCACTAAGAGGTAGGTACGGAGGGACTACCAGGCCTGTGCTCTGCAAGGAAGCGGCTCAGACTGGGACCCCCTGTTCAGGACCATGAGCCTCCTTCCCAGGGAGGCCTGTGCTCCAGAAGGGAGGTCTCAACAGCCCCTCTCAACTGTGCCAACATTCTGCCCGTCCACCACTGACCTCAACCCATTGATGGCAGTATGGAGCAACCCAGAGAAGCATCTTCCTTCTGTCCCCAGATTGCAAGTGACTATGTTGTGCATCTTTTTGGCAGACAGTTTTTGTCCATCTCAGTTCTTTTTTTTTTTTTTCAGTTATAGAAGGATGTACCAGTTAATGAGAAATACCCTGATTTTCACAGAATGTTAAATATGCCAAGATACCAAGGAGATTTTTTTTTAATCATTGTTCTATCCACTAAGAGTCACCATAGACTAGAGAGAATTTTTTCAAATGAGATCATCAGATTACAGAAGTAATTAGACACACTACTGTTGGGACAGAAGGCTGACTTTGACTCTTAGCTGAACCAAATTGAAAGGGAAGTAGTCCCCATATTCCCTGAGTAAATGTAGTTAAGTGGGCAGCCTGCCATCATGGGAGCAAACAGCACTAGCGGGGCTGGGACGTCCAAAGCCACCTCCTGCCTCAACTGGTCACCTGCTAAACCTTTTTGCATTCTCAGTGGAGTTATGTTGAATATTAGGCACGCAGAGCCTAGAAAAATGATCTGTGTTCTGAGAAAAAGTGAAATTCCTCCCTGACGAAGATTAGGCCACCATAACTCACTGGTAAGCACCCTTGCTCCAGCAAGCTCCTAAACGAGAAACTAGCTATCTCAGACCTCAAGTCTTCTTTCTCTGTAGTTGGAGAAACCACTAATATTTGCAAAAGCCTCATGAAGCACAGAACTAACATCTGTAAGACATCAACAAATACCAGCCTTTAGAAACCATCCAAGCCTTGGAGTCATGATGATATGAAGAACCCCATGTTCATGTTTGTGGTCCAGTTCTTTGACACGGCGGCATCTCCCATTGCAACTAGAGACTGCTGCCGCCAGCAGCGTTCCAGTTACTAGCCTAAGTACTTCATTGGTATTGCCAAACCGCCATGTCTGCCCAGTCGTGACTGTATAACCCTTGGCTTATAGTGAAGTTTGTGGCTCCTAGATCAAGATTTTCAAGCATTGTTTTATATCTGTCATTCAACCTTGGCTTCTGTTCACTCAACTGGGGATGTAGGGGTTCCTGTGCATTTTGTAACACTCACTAGTAGTGTGGACTGAATATATGCCAGCAGATTCATTACAGCGATACCTCTGAAAGCATAACCACCCAGCCACCAGTGGGAAGCATCAGCATCTCCTGGAGTTGTTAGAAACACAGCCCTGACCCCAGATCTACCGATTCAGAGACTTATTGGGGGTGGGGGGTGAGGGCGAGCAAACCTTTCATACAGTTCTGATGCACCCTAAAAATCGTTTCCACTTTAGGAAACCTTTTTGGAAAGTTGGCAGTGCTGACTAGTAATGACAGTTTAATTATATTAGTGGGTACACATAGCATCCACATAGTGGGTAAAATGTGTCTCTTTTTCCTAAGGAGCAAAACTATTTACCTCTCTCGCTAATTCTGTCATTAGTCCCTTGCAAGGACTGCATTTGGCCTTTTTGGCTTAGAAATGTCTGCATGTAATTTAAGCTCCCAAGCTTTCAAAAGGTTTAAGCCATCTTCCAAAGATGAGTTTGCTACAGTCCATGGGGTCGCAAAGAGTTGGACATGTCTGAACAAAAAAACAACAGAATTTTACCAGGAACTCTGCAGAAAGGTCATCAGTGGCTCAAGATAGAGAAAAGATGTCTGTAGAGACCCAGCAAAGGTCAGGGCCTGGCTTGTGCCTGAGACTGGCACCAAGATTCAGGCTTGGAAATTGCGTCTGGATTAGCACTGGCGGGAGGCCAGGCCCTGCCTCCCTTGGCTGCGCGAAGGCTGCTGAAGGGGTGGGGAGCAGACAGGAAAGCTGGCACAGCCAAGCTTGCTTTGGCGCTGTGCGTTGCACCCTGTCCATCACCTTACCCGTGAAGCCAGGAGGTCAGCGTTTATGGTCTGGCCTCTGGGGACAGACTCAGCTCCAAGGCGGTGCAGTAATCATGACCCATCCTCTCAAAGTAGTAACGCTGCCGGAGACCTAGCCAGTCTTTCTGACTCCAGTCTCCCAGCTGCCATTTGGCCATCCTTCCTGAAATGTTGCTTTCCTCAAGTATCCTCACTCACAAACCTTTGAAAGTAAGAATAAGGGAACTAGTTGCCTACCAGATGGCAGACATTTCCTTAGACACAACTTCATTTAATTCTCACAACCCTGTTATGTAAGGTCTATCCTGACTTTTATGGATGAGGAAACCAAGACTCAGAGAGGTGAAGCATCTTACTGTTAAGTAGGGAACTATTAAGTATGCAAGCAAGGTTTGAACCCAAGCCTCTGAATTTAAAACCTGTATTTTCCCATCCCCCT